GCTTCGACGTCAGCTCGATAAGAGGACACAAACGCCTCTGCATCAGATTTGGCCTTCGCAAGTTCGGAGGCCGATTTAGCTTCGGGCTCCTCAATTTTTCGGCTCCGGGCCAGGCTTTCCTTCTTTACATTTTGAAACTAGCGCTCAATCGATGTCAGCTGATCCCGAAGCATGTCTTTCTCCGAGGTAAGACGATCCATATATTGCTTCCACCCCAAGGTCTCGGCCTCTTTCACCTTGAGCTCTTCTCGAAGCTGCTCCACCAGCTCGCTCTTCTGCTGGGCCTGCAAAGTTGAAGCGTTAATCGCTAAATCAAACGAATGCATAACAGACCCTCAAAGGCTATATTACCTTTTCAATGAGCTCGGTCTGTTATTGACAAGCCTTCGCCGATTCAACTTGGAGATCCCTGACCTCCTCCTCTTTTTATACATAGAGACGCTTAAGGTCGTCCCTCTCTTCCAGCAACCTCTTGAGTTCGGCTTCGCATTGGGCAAGCTCGACCCGAGATTTGGAAAATTCTTGTCGATGAAGCACCACTGCCTTCACTCAAAGAAAAAGAGTTAAACTTAGAAAAAACGAGAATAAAACTCGAGCGTAATTAAAGAGGCAAAAACTTACTTGTTCGAGAAGCCTAGGCCTCATCAAAGATAAACGAGGCGTCAGGACCGGGACCATCTTCGACCCCTGCAAGGCACTCCCGAAAAATACCACTCCCTTCATGGGTCATTCCCCATCAGGGGTCCTCATGTCCTGGGCATCTCAGAGTTGCCCTTCGGAGAACACGGGGCCCGGAGGCGAGTCATCTACATTAATTATCCCAAGAGATTCACTTGGGATATTATCTTCTCTTTGGGGGGCCTCGAAACTAGGCTCCTCAGGCTCGCCCGCCAAATGTCCCCCGGGACGAGACACACTTTTACCACCCGATGGATCGGGGACTCTGCTCGAGTTCCCCTCTGAAATTTCTTCGGTTCGAGATTGAACTGCATCAGCCGCCATCAGTTTAGCGGCCTTCGAAGCGTCAGTGTTTCCTCTTTTCCGAGCTACCAACAGGCAGTCATCATCTTCTCCCTCCCCCTCGTCATCCCGAAGGTGTTGGGCCGCTTCTGAAGATAGGGCCGCGGAATCGGCCCTAGGCTTTCGAGCCTTGCTTTTCTTTGGCTTCAGGAAACTTACAGGCGAACCCCTTTTCCTCTACTTCTGTTTGGTCGACTTTGGGATTTCTTCTTCACCAGGCGGGGGCGGCTGCAAAGCAACGACGTCTCCGAGGCCTGCGTAATGGTAAAGTGAGTATTTCTTTAGGAAACATCAATATGTGAACAAGAGAACTCACCATGGTTTTTAGCTTCCCATAGACCCTTGACCAAATCACGCCAACTGCGTTCCGCGTATGAAGAAGTAGAGGCCAGTTGTCGGACCCAACCTGCGAGGTCCGGAACCGCACCAGGGAACCAAGGGGCAGTTGCATCATCAAAACGGAGTTAAATCGAGGAAGAATAGAGAAAGCATAATATTGATCATCTTCGATAAGCTTGCACTTACGTTTCATGTTCCACTCCTTGGGGAATGACATCCTCTCGGCAGGGATCACATAGGAAGTCCTGATTCGGACAAATCGACTCATCCACCCTCGGTCTTTGTCCTCATCGATGCTAGAAAATAGCAACTTTGAGGATCGACGCTGGAGCTTTATCAAGCCGCCTCGATAGAGGCAAGGGCTATGTAGCCTGATCAAGTGGTCGAGGGTAAAAGACATCCCCTCAATCTGGCCTGAGAAATACCTGATCAAATTGACGATGAGCCAGAAAGAAGGGTAGATCTGGCCAAGAATGACTGGATCTACGGGACCCAGTGATAGATCTACGGGACTCAGTGTGAAAGGGTAGGTGTACACGCTTTAGTACCCTACCTTATGGGTGGTGATGTCCTCTTCGAGGGAAGGGATCACAACATCCTTATTCTCCCAATTGCAATCCTTTTTCACCTGCTCAAGTTCATCTCACATCGGCCTGGTGTCGATGCAGGTTTATCGATTTTAAAATCGGAAGTTAGCTCGCATGGCCCGGAAATACACTCCTCGATACGAGGTGGCACCAGCGTTTTACCTCTGGCCGGAGGCGATGATGAGGAAGCTTTTTCTTTCTGAGGAACGGTTTTAGATGTTTTAGCCATTGTTTTTGAGAAACTCAAAAGAAGAGAAGGAGTTGATGCTGTAACAAGAACTAATTCTGGAAAAGGTAAACTTAGGGAAGGTGAAGAAGTTAATGAGGTTTTGGGAAAAATTTGAGAAGCAACGATTGTAAATGCTGTGAAGTTGACCTATTTATAGCGGTTGCCTGATCGATTTGGGAAAGCTAATGGCCGACCAACAGTCGCCTCAATTAATGGCCTTGGAAACTATGCAGACACGACCTTTCAATCACTTCAGTTGCTGACATCACGAGATTGACGTCATGGTCGAGGCGTCGGAGGATCGAGGATCAAATCGTTTCTTATCATCTTACTCTAAGAAACGCGAGAACTATCTGTATACTGTCAAAATTAGGTATGCCCGATTTTACAGACTCGAGGAGTAACTATAAGCCCCAGTTCAGGATGGGTCGAGTTCGAGACCGATGGACTAAGCCCGAGCCCGAGGGCAAAAGATAAGGCTCGAAGATCGAAGCGCACGATGAGTACCGAAGTCGAGCATGACCAACCCCGAGATATAGCCATTGTGGATTATAACGGAAAGAGAAAGATTCTCGCCACGTCCCCAAGATTAGGGTGTAAATTTCGGAATAGATTCGTACGAGTCAGTACGAATCCGTACAAGGCGGTTATACAGCTGTCCCAATAAGATTCTTTATTGTAAATAGAAATGTACCTTATTTAGGGTTCCTCTATTATATAAAGGGGACCCCAATCATTTGTAACCATCATCAATCATTGAAAGAATACATTCTCTTACTTTCTCATTCATTGTTCATCAGAATTGTCTTTTAACTTTATTGTTCTTACTTTACTGTTCTTGACCTACCTTAAGGCCACCTTAGCTCGAGGTCGAGACTGCACACTGGTTTGATTTTACTTATTTCCTTCATTTACACGTTAGTTTTCTTGGTTATTAATTAGTATTGAAATAAATTACATATCTTTAAAACCATAAATCAAGTTTAATTGTTACTCTTCGGGGGAAGGGATTACAACATCCTTATTCTCCCAATTGCAATCCTTTTTCACTTGCTCAAGTTCATCTTCAGTTATCAAGCAGATGTATCGAGACATGGGCTCATATCGGCCTGGTGTCGATGCAGGTTTATCGATTTTAAAATTGGAAGTTAGCTCGCATGGCCCGGGAATTCACTCCTCGATACGAGGTGGCACCACCGTTCTACCTCTAGTTGGCCGCGACGATGAGGAAGTTTTTTCTTTCTGAGGAACAGTTTTAGGTGTTTTAGCCATTGTTTTTGAGAAACTCAAAAGAAGAGAAGGAGTTGATGCTGTAGCAAGAACTAATTCAGGAAAAAGGTGAACTCAAGGAAGATGAAGAAGTTAATGAGGTTTTGGGAAAAATTTGAGAAGCAAAGATTGTAAATATTGTGAAGTTGACCTATTTATAGCGGTCTCCTGAACGGTTTGGGGAAGCTAATGGCCGACCAACAGTCGCCTTCAATTAATGGCCTTGGAAACTATGCAGACGCGACCTTTCAATCACTTCAGTTGCTGACATCATGAGATTGACGTCATGGTCGAGGCGTCGGAGGATCGAGGATCAAATCATTTCTCATCATCTTACTCTAAGGAATGCAGGGACTATCTCTATACGGTCAAAATCAGGTATGCCCGATTTTACGGACTCGAGGAGTAACTATAAGACCGAGTTCAGGATGGGTCGAGTTCGAGACCAATGGACTAACCCGAGCCCGAGGGCAAAAGACAAGGCTCGAAGATCGAAGCGCACGATGAGTACCGAAGCGGAGCATGACCAACCCCGAGATAGAGCCGTTGTGGATTATAACGGAAAGAGCAAGATTCTCGCCATGTCCGCAAAATCATGGTGTAAATTCTGGAATAGATTCGTACGAGTCAGTACGAATCCGTACTAGGCGGTTATACAGCTGTCCCAATAAGATTCTTTACTGTAAATAAAAATATACCTTATTTAGGGTTCCCCTATTATATAAAGGGGACCCAATCACTTGTAACCATCATCAATCATTGGCAAAAGAATACATTCTCTTACTTTCTCGTTCATTGTTCATCAGAATTGTCCTTTAACTTTATTGCTCTTACTTTACTGTTCTTGACCTACCCCGAGGCCACCTTAGCTCGAGGTCGAGACTGACTTGCACAATTGTTTAATTTTACTTATTTTCTTCATCTATACGTTAGTTTTCTTGGTTAGTATTGAACTAAATCACATATCTTTAAAACCATAAATCAAGTTTAATTGTTACTCGTATTTTTGAGGTAAACAACAGACAAATTCATTAGTTACATATATATGTACAAAATTTTCCGAGGGTTACGGGATCCGATGATCCTCCTGCCGTATACGTGGATCCGCCTCTGATCCAAATGATGAACAAAATTTACAGGATTACACTCTTTAGGAGCACTCTTGATTGTTACTCCCTAAATATTCTCTCTGTCCCATTTATATGTCATACTACTTTTATTATCATAATGTATTATTTGAATATAATCTAACTTTAAATTCTAATTTACTATCAGTAAGATAATTTATAGTCAAATAAATATTTTTAAGTTATTTTAGACTATAAATTAAGTTTTTATTTGTAGAAAAATTAGAACGGAGGGGGTATTACTTACTAGTGGCATATTATTTTTTTCTTATTTTCTATCCGGCGTCCGATACCCGCATTGAAGCCCAACTAACTCCTGATTCGCGTCCGAAAGTGTCGTATTGTTGGTTCATTGCTTTAATTGATTGGACGCGATCAAGATAAATAGGTAAACGAAGATGACGGTATAAGCACGTCGGCCGGCAAGCGCAGAATAAAATCTCATGATTTCAGCGGCGCACGTTAGATACACCCCTCCCACGAATTTCAAAATTTTCTCCAATCGGCTAAATCGCAAATTCTGCTTTTCTATACAACCCGACCCCACCAAAAAACAACAAGAAATTCAAAAGTACACCCCAAATTTTAGAATCAAACTCTCCCATGTGATCCAACAACCGGGCCCTTCTCCTAATTTGACAAATCTAAAAGGACTTCAGGTTTGAAAATTCACATAATTATACATTTCAAACCAAATAACCAATTCGAAAGTTGAAGCAATTTGATTTGAAGAGTGAAAAGTGGAATGACGATGGACCGAGAGAAGGAGAGAGAAGTAGAGTTGGAGAGTGCAATGTACACCAATTGTTTGTTACTAGGTTTGGATCCATCCATCATCGGAATCGGAGCCGGTAACGGCACACCTCGGGTCGGATTTTTTCGTCATTCGAACCCTAAATTGGGCGAACAGCTTCTCTACTTCTTATTATCGTCTCTCAGAGGCCCTACTCAATCTGCTAAGGTATTAATCGCTGCTTTTTAACCTCTCGAAATGTACTTCTTAGCTCACACCTGATTCAGGATTACAGTTTCTAGTTTCGTACTTCTTTTGTGTGGATGTTAATTGTTAGATCTCTTCAGGACTTCGATAAGGTTTGGCCAATTTTTGACTCCGCACAATCTCGTGATTTTCGTAAGGTAAATATGCTTTATCAGCCTGAATAAAGTGAAATGCATACAACAATTTGTATAAATTCGTTGAGATTAGGTCTTTTTTAGTGAAAGTTTATTAATTTTATTTTTGGGAAGTTTAGGTTGTACAAGGGATTATAAGTGAGCTGGAATCACAAGGGGCACTACCTAGAAGTAATTCAAGGGTCTCGTCGCTTGCCACATGCTGTGGACCGAGGTTGGCTCATTTTGATAGCAGTTCGATTGATATACCATTTGGATTCTGGTTCATTTTTACTTATTTTGATCCATCATTTGAATTTTTCTGTATCACGATGTTAGTGCAAGTAGATAAACTAGGGAAAGTAATTTGAGCATTGGTGTTATTGGAAATGTTGCAAATAAAATAATTGTCCTACTGATACCATCTTAGATTCTCTAAAGGAGTAGATTAGTTTTTTGAAGTTTGGATTGTGGAAGGGTCATAAGTAAGCAGGGTTCAGAAACCAGACCTGTGAAGCACTGAAATGCCTTCATTCCAGCCCATGGGCTGTCTGAAATCTGAATAATTCTATTAATGAGAATCATTTCCATCTGAATAATTCTATTAATGAACGAATGTCGATCCCAAAAAAAAATGAATGTTAATGAATTCTGGTGCCTTTATCTAATTATTGACTCCACAATACTTTGGATGGGGAAATGATTCATCTTTTAAGTGGAAGATCTAGATAGTACCTGCTTCTTTTTCCGTTATCATACTCGTTGTTATAAGTTTGATCCTTACCCTTTGTGATGAAGTTTGCATGCTGATGCATACAGAGTAAACACTGTAGGCATCCCATGTACTTAATGTTCGTTATATATTTCACATGTTTACTGCAGGTTTGTTGAACTTCTATGGCAACTTTCACTGCATGCTTTGCGGGAGGTTCATAGGCGAACATTTGCTACGGATGTTGCTTCTAATCCATTGCCTGCCTCATTAACAGATGTAGCTTTCTCGCATGCTGCCACGCTACTCCCTGTGACCAAGGTCATTCTTCTGATTCCTTCTATCCGCTAGGGCTTTGAAATGTACCTATTCGATATCAGTTTGAAATCTAACAGCCTAATCACCTGAAGCCAAGGCTTTAGTTTCTGCACATTTTAGATGCAAGCGGCATATTGATTTGACTCGGTTTTTTTCCTAATGTGGAATCTATTTACTTGTATCTCATTGACAAAATTGCTTACCAGTAATTTCTGCTTAGGCATTGATTGGTATTAAGATTGTTTGTTTTGCTAGTCTTGAACCTTAAATTCTTCATATGTAATGTAGACACGATCATGATTGATATGAGAAATTATTGCAAGTGGATGGATCTAATATCTGCCGCTATCTGAATAGGCTAGGGTTGCTCTTGAAAGAAGAAGGTTTTTGAGTAATGCAGAAACAGCAGTTCGTAGACAGGGCATGTGGTCTAATTTGGCTCATGAATTGACAGCTGAGTTTCGAGGCCTTTGTGCTGAAGAGGTGAAAGAAAATCTTGTTATCTTTCTTTGAGGACCTGAATTGGATTATATCCCTTTATTCACTGGGGTAAATAATTATTTCTGCGATCATCTTTGATCTTCTTGGTCTAAGGCTTACTTGCAGCAAGAACTGGAAAAGCTGCAGGAGTTGAGAAACAAAGTAAAGCTGGAAGGTGAACTGTGGGATGAACTTGTATCAAGCTCAAGTCAGAACTCGCATATGGTTCAAAGAGCTACCCGTTTGTGGGACTCTTTGCTGTCTCGCAAGAGTGCGTTCAGATATTATCTCACTTGTCACTCCTACCCTAATAAATCTATGCAATTAGCATGCTTTTCCATATATTATCATAGAGTTCTGTACATTGGGCGCTTACTTGTATATGTATATATTTATACAGATCAACATGAGATTCTTGCCTCTGGTCCAATAGAGGATCTTATCGCTCATCGTGAGCATAGGTTAGATTACTTTCCATATTTTTTTGGATTTTAAAACCTGGCCTTGCCTTCAAATTGTTTTTTAATTTTTATTATTCAGGTATCGCATATCTGGTTCGGCTTTGCTTGCAGCTATGGATCAAAGCTCTGTAGCTCCACCTCACGATTTAGCTTCTTCACATCATGATAATAAAGACCAAGCTGAAAGATCACAAGCAGATATGAATAGAGAAAAGCATGTAACGAGTTCAGATTCTTCTCATATACAAGGAGATGATGACAGATTTTCTCGAGTTGATGAGAGAATTGCAAGGGGCCATCCTACTGTTGATATAGCAGAAGTTTTGAGGCGTTGGACACATGCCCTACAACGTGTACATAAGCAGTCCCTTCAATTGGTATGCTGATTCCTTTCACTCAAGATTCTATACATCCTGACGGACTCTTTTCTCTTCTCAATAGATTTCAAGCTTAAAATATTGCCAGGCATTTATATATATGTTTGGACGGTTTCTTGTTATGTGGATTCAAGTGGTCCAGAAGGAGAGAAAACTACTTTTTAGGGTGGGTCTAAATATGGGGCCAGAGCTTTCACTACTACAAAGCAATCCATATCTGCTCATATTTTTGAATTTACAAGTATTAAACAGAGAATCTTTGTTGAACAACGTCTTAAATAAAGGGAAAGAAAGTGTTTACAAGTGACACCCGTTTTTACACTTAGGCAATTAATTTAACAGTTTGGATCTCTCTACTTTGATTTTCATTTCATACTTTCATTCTGGTACCACGACACTATGCAGGCAAAAACAAATGATGGAGAGGGTCCAGAGCTTTTGAGGAGTTCACATGATGGTGGTGCAGGTGGTCATACGGAGTCCTTAGCTGCAACCCTTGCTGAACATCGGCAGCACCTAGCAAGTATACAGGTATAACGTTCAGTCTAATTTGGTTGCACTTATGAACTATTTTCATGGAGTCAGGTTAAAGTATTGCATCTCCATACAAATTAAGAGAAAGCAAGGTTGTTGGTATAGTTGGATTTTGTAATCTATCACATAATTCTATTTGAAATACTCCTCTAATCACCCTCACCAACAAGGAAAAAATGGAAGTGATAAGTTTGAATTGCTTGAGCTTTTATCTATCTTGACCTGTGCAGTATTTTCAAGTCAAGCTTGAAATATATAACTGCTAATATAGCTTTGTCAACTAAATACTCTCAATTTCAGTCCTATCTTCCCCATTTTTGATTGAATATATTCTTCTCCTTTGAGGCGGGAAAACAGCTCCATTGACTAGTTCTTGCCCTAAAGTATCATTGTTTTCATAAAGAAAATTAAATTCCATATTCATATTCATATAGGTCCTTCCCCGGACCCCGCGCATAGCGGGAGCTTAGTACACCGGGCTGCCCTTTGCCCTTTATAGGTAGAAAATAACAAATAAAACTGGGTTACATTGTTGTTCCACTGGGGTCATTTTGTGGAACGGATGTGCCCCTGCCTTTTTAATATGGTTATTCCGCAAGTTATGTTTATTTTATCATTTATTACTATTATCCATAGACACAGGTGTATGCCCCTGTCTTTATTGGGTACATAGTGGACATGTCTATTAAATCTGGGAAGTTGTCTTATCTATTTTAGACCTGCATGAGGTGCTGAAAATTTGCAAAAAGAATATTGAAGTAGGTTTTTTGCGATAAATTTTTTCAAGCAAACCTTGCAACTCTTGAACTTCAACTTAAAAATAATATTTCAAACTGAAGTTGCGCTCTCGACCTATATTGCAAGTGAAGTTTTTCAAACATTTAGCATCCACAAAATTCAACTTCTGGAGGCTTTGTTTCCTAAAATGTACGACTTTCCAGAAACAACTTCAATTTCTACAAATGTTTTCCAATTTCAACTTCAAACAATCTATTTTCAATTTCAGCTTGAAATGCTGTCCTAACAGCTCCTGATATGACATTCGGTAAGTTGATTACCCGAAGAATGGAAGTAGTTTTCTGGCATCCTTAGCAGATCATTAAGTTAAATGAAATTTCTATGATTATACTGTTGAAAATACAACAACAACAACAAAAATAACAGTAAACCTAATGTAATATCACAAAGTGGGGTCTGGGAAGGATAGTGTGTATGCAGACCTTACCCCTATCTTGTGAAGGTAGAGAGGTTGTTTCTAATGGAAAATTGTTGATCTCTAGGTGCTCATAAATCAACTGAAGGAAGTTGCTCCATCCATACAGAATTCAATTTTAGAACTTACAGAAGAAGTGAATAATATTTCATCCAATTCTTCTAGCATGGCCATGCATCAGGGTAGATCGCATTCACCGGTCCAAGCGCAGAGCAGTGGGAGGGCGCCGGTAATTTTCGTGAAGTATTTTGAGGGGCTTCCTTTACATTTTGAATCAACAAAATATCTAAACAACATAGATTCTGCAGGAAAACACCACTGATGAGGTAGCTGAGATGAGCTCAAGATTGTCATCCATGCAATTTGAAAAGACATCAGCCAGTCCCCCTGCTTTAAAGCTCCCACCGTTGTTTAGTGTAACGCCAAATTCTTCTGGAAAAGGTGGTGCACAGAAGCGACAGCTCTCAGCTCAAACCAGCCAAACTGAAAATATGCCTGAAAGAAAGTCTCTGGATCAGCAATTTTTAAATAATTCGTTGAATTATTCTCCACAAGGTTTTTGTTCTCCCTTCTGAATGCTTACAGTTGATTTCGTTGTTGGACTTTTGAATTTATTCTGTATTTTTGCAGATAACGACATAAGCTTTGTACAAAATCTGAAGAGATCTGTCAGAGAAGCTGCACTTTGCTCCCAATCTTACCATCAGGAATCATCTCTTGACAGCCATTCTGATGATAGTTCTGAGCACTACTTTGAGCCCGTTTCAGGGTTTGGGTTTGCCCAACATGGCAATCGAGCAAACTTGTTGAGAAGTAAAAAGTTGTTTGTGTCAGAACCAGACTCATCCTTTCTAGGGACTCGTGCTCCAGAAAATCATATGAGCATCAAGTCTGAAGGAATACATGACTTGTTAAATGATCTGCAGTCTGTGGATGACTATGACGGTTTTCTTTCAACTGTGGGTTCAACTTCTTCATTTTCTGATGCACATAGGTCATTTTATGATATGGAGGAAGCTCAGGATCAAGTATTCTCACCTCCTCTGCTTATGGATGCATCATTGTTGGCAGATTCTTATGAGGATTTACTTGGTATGTTTGTTACAATCTTTTTACCTAATAGACCTGTTTATAATTTTTAAGAAGTTTAAATCCATTTTCCATGCTGATTTTCTGATGCTTAAATCTTCATGCTACATCCCTGAGTTCCTTAAGTCAGTTTCAGTGATGTCTGATGCTTAAACTGTCATTGATTCTCTATCTTTTTTTTTTTTGGTAACTAACTTTTGTATTAATCACCAGTAATAACTGTACAAATCCATAGCTAGCCACCACTGCTAGCTATCATATTTACATATGAATCTCAGAAATAACTAAGAGTCCATCTAGAATCTATAGCTATGAACTAGTTTTACTATTCTAGGAGGGGCTCGCACACAGCATACACGTGCTATCTCCTTTGCTATACGTTCCCATCATACACTTTCCTTCTCAAATGTTCTCCTGTTTCTCTCAATCCATATACAGTGTACAGCTTCAGTCTATATCATTTTCAAGATTTGAGCAGCTTGTGTCTTCCTTTTAGCTCTCCTTATCACCTCCTGCACATGCTGCTCCCAGTCCCCTGCTGTTATGTTTTGGCTGTGCGTGTGCGTCCACTGCATTAGCTTGTTCATCATTGCCTTCATGTAATCACACTCCACATACAAATGATCTCTAGATTCCTCCGCTTGCTGGCATAAGCTGCATTTACTCTCTATATCCATACCCCAGCTGATCAACCTATCCGAAGTAAATATCCTGTTTTGCATTTGCAACCCGAGTGTAAATCGAGCCTTTGGTCTTCCTGCATTTCCAAACATCAAACATTTCCATAGGATCCTGGATTGTTCTCCCAGCAGATGCAGCTAAATTTGGCTAATGATACTCTTTCCTGGTCGTATGTGTATTGATGGTGTCCCCAGGTTATTCCTTGCCTCCATAATTTTCCTCACCATCCAGCTTGCTTGCTTTGGCGCTGGCACTTGTTCCATATGTTGTCCCTTTATATAGTAAGTGTGTATCCATCGTATCCACAGTTTATCTTTCTTGTTCGCAAGATCCCAATACAGCTTTGTAATGGCTGCCTTGTTCCATACTCTAATGTTTATCATATTCAGCCCTCCTACACTTCTTGGGGAGCAGAGTTTGTCCCATGCTACCTGTGCTTTCCTTGTTAATACATTACTACCCGACCATATGTAGCTCCTACAGTAAGCTTCCACTGTTTTTATCACCTTTGCCCTTTTCCTACTTTTATTTTGTTCTTCTTTGTTCTTTGGCTTGGGATTTTTCTATCCATCTTATGTGCAGTTCATTGGCATCTTATGTTTGCATGTATGTTTTGGTGCTCTTTTATTAGTTCAAAAATGTTGGTTCTGCGCCCTAACTGATGACACGTGATGAATGATGTTTTGAAAGCTTCTCCTAATTCTGGACATTGCATGGTGTCCAAATTTGTTCTCTGTTAAACTCTTACTGGATTAATAGTTCTCCTTGGGTCACTGCCCATTGAGAAAGTTTTGTCGAGAATGAGTCAGGTCTTATTGCTCTCTCCACAGTGCAATTTATCAGGCTGTTCCATTTTTCTTTGTGTGGAAGCTTTAAATGTTCTTCTTAACGACCCTTGCTTTGATCTTTTTGATCTACTAATGTGACCCCTATGTCTGAATAGAATAAGTTCATCAATAGTACAAAATGCATCTTCTAACAAACTTACCCTTCCTCATTGATACCTACGTTTGAAACGGAGCCGGAAAATTTGTAAAGTACATATGCTTGTGACAAGTAGGATAAATCAAAAAAAATATGTGAATTTTTCTTGCTAATATTATATAGTGACTTTTTTTATAGTCGAAATAAAGTGATTTTTTATTATTATTAATTTTTTCGTGATTTATTTCATTGTTGGAAATGTATTTATCAATCAATTTGTTTGTTGATTCAAGAAAGGCTTTCAAGGATTTTTACCCGATAGTGAAAGCCCTTTTCGGAACCTATCACTATTTGCTATGATATATTTGGCACTGCCTTCTTTATTGTTCTACCAAACTATTGCTAATTTAGTGGTCTAATGAAAGTTGTACTGTTGCAGCACCATTGTCAGAAACTGAAACTGCTTTGATGGATCATTGAGATCAAATATTGGGTAATGTTGCTGCTCGTCCTTGAAGAGATTGCTTAGAAGCTTGTACGGTCGATCTTTTCGTGGTCGGAATACCCTCCTCTCACTAATTTCCATATGGCAGTGTGATTTCTTGTATTGTTCATGGTTTAAATGTTTCAACTTTTATCTCTTGCATTTCATTTTACTTGGGGGAGCAGAGGTAACTGAACATCAGAACATTGCTCAGTCAGCATGACCACTGCCGAGCCAAGATTTTTGAAGCTTTGACCCCCCAGGTACTGTCAGCTTGGCCTTGTAAGCATAATGCTCTGCTGCAGGAGATCGCAGGACTGCTTCAGACATTAGTGTGCTGTATACTGAAGGGAAAAGAAATGTTATCTTGCTCCTGATTGATTCTTTTTGTTTACTCTGTATCAATTGAATAGACACATTTTCTGTTGAAGAAGTAATATTTGTGATCGTTTGTTCCATAATGTGGTACAGACCTCTCTATAACATCCCTATATAACAACACTTCACTGTAAAAGCCAAGCTTTTCCGGAACCAATTTTCATGTTATGATATATGTTCTCTATAAAAGCACTTCGCTATAACATCAAAAAATATCCGGAATAATGAGGCTGTTATAGAGAGGTTTGATCTATGAAATTGCTGTTTGCTGAAAAATCTGACTGTCTATTTTTTGTGCTTATTTTACTTGAAAACTGTTTCACCAAAAGCATCTATTTTTCTTTATTTAAAAATCTTAATCCGTTTTTACTTTTTTCCAATAGAATCTCTTCAGAGTGATATGTTTGGATATTGACCTGTGGGCTTTTGCGAGCTAGGGCCGGTATTGTCGGTCAATAGTTCTTTGGATAATATGACCAATGACGGTTACTCCAACCGACTTCCATATATTAGATCCCTTTCTATATCTGGTTAACTCTAATAATTGTCCATATCTTCAATGAATATTCATTATTTTGCTTCTGACAGGTAAAGAGTGATCACTTTAACATCTTACAGTGTATATAACCCACAAAGCTGGTTTTACATATTAGCACAAATCAGTTTGGATATAATGATATTCTGAAAAGAAATAGAGTGATCCACTTTAGGTTGGAGGCAGTGACTTGAAAATTTAGGAATGATTGGATGTAAGAAACACAAAAATGGTTAAAACCACTGGAGGAAAATCTTTTGGATTTTATAACTATGTATGGACCATTCAGATTTTATCTTTCGGAGGATACAACAATATCTCAAAAACTATTGGATGTCCCTTTATCTGATTCTAATTGGATGCTTAATTTCTGACCCATATTCTTCCCATATCTCCAAGTAATATAGCTATTGAATATCTTAAATCAAAACTCAAACCCGCGTAGCAGCACTGCCTTATGTTGCTATATTTAGGAGCAAATGCTTCTTTCTTTTTTTCTTTTTTTTTTATCGTTCGTGGTTAAGTGTTGCAAGACAAAATTTGTCAACAATACTATGTCTTTGACTTTCGTAATTGATCTTTGCACCCCACAATTTTCCAATGAACTTGGATCTTATACATTATTTCATAAACCACATGGCACCTTATTGAACCCACAACTCTTTTATAAGGATAACCTCACCCTAGAAGAGAATTTGTTGGTGGTGGGGGGGGGGAAGGAGTTTGTAGCATTTAGAAGCTAAAGCGATAAATGGAATTTAAGGCTAGTTATAATTGAGATTTTGACGATGTTGCTCAAGTTTACCAACTACGTTTCTTGTTTTTCTTTTATTTTTATTTGGTCCATTTAAAGTGGGATAAACACAAGGACATTTCCCATGTTTCACTACAACAATTACTACTTGGCCTTTGGCCCACATTTAGAAGCGCGTGTACGATTTATTCGCTTTATTCTTGTACTTCGAAATCTCATTTTTAGCCCTGGCTTCTATGACTTTCTTTTAGAACTGTGAAGGCGAAATTTGTCAAAGTTCAAAATTGTCCAAATCTGGAGAAACCCAAAGGTGAGAATAAATATGGCAAGTGGTTTAGAGGTTAAAATATGTGAGAAAGAAAAAGGTAGAGCACACTCTTCATTTCTAAATTAATCATATTACTATATATATCTTTTGTATTCATATTGTTTTATACACTATTGGAAAGCTTTGTCATTATTAGATTATTATATTATGTTATGATAAATTTAAGCAACCCTTTCTATTTTATTCATATCATGTCAATTAAGTGGGCGTTTGGACATAAGAATTATAAAATTCTAAAAAAAGTATTAAAAAAATTCAAGTGAAAATAGTATTTGAAAAATAGAGTTGTGTTTGGACATAAATATAATTTTGGGTTATTTTTGAAGTTTTGTGAATTTGATAAATAGTTTTTTGGAGTTTTTTAAATTTTTAAAAAATTTCAAAATTTATCTTCAAGTGAAAATTGAAAATTTTATTGCCAAACATTTATTTCGAAAAAAGTAAAATAAAATCTTATGTCCAAACGGACTCAATTTTCAAGAGATGTTTAAAGCAAGGAAAATATATTTAATTTTCTTTTAAATTGCAAAAGATTATGTTGAACCAATTTTTTCTTAGATTTGATATATTTATGAAACTCATATAAAAGGAAAAAAAGACAAAAGAAAGGGAGGTAAAAAAAGGAAAGTTATAAGAGAAAATGGGAAGCAAATATTCAGAGGAGAAAAAAGAACAATAATTCTAGCTAACCAAAAAACACATCATCAACATCAGCAACAACCAGAAATTGCTTTTCTCTAATCCATCATCACCCTCCCTCCCTTCCTCTTCTCTCAGTTGGGGCTGTTTTTAGATTTTGATCACTGACCCAACTCTGTAAAGTTTCAATCTTTTTCATTATTACCATAGTTTTATTATCACCCAACTCCTCAAATTATCTTAATGTAAGCTTTTACAACTCATTTTTATTTCTAAACGCTGATTCTTGATCTTATTGACCCACCTTTTTTTCTCCTTTTTTTTTTGCTCAAGTTTCTTTCTTGCTCCTTGCAGGTGAATGTTATATGCACAGATCTTAATATGCTTTGACCTAGCTGAATAGCCCTGAGTCTATGTGGACCTCAGCTAAAAGAAGAATAGGTAGAAATTTCAATCTTTGATTCAGAAATTTTGATGCTTGTCTGCAATCTGTGTTTTCTTTTTTCACTACTTAGTTCACCAAGAATATACCTTTCATATTGTTAAATGAGAGTGAGAATGTGCACCATGTGGATTTATTGGTAAATAACTTTTTGGATTTTATAGGCTCCCTTCAGTTGCAATAGGCTGATCCCTGAAAATTTTGTAATTCACAGCTGTCTTCTTACTGCTGAGTTGTTTATAATACATATTACACATTTTATCAAGGAAAAAAGAAGGAAAATGATTATGGAACAAGAGTTGATTTTTTAGCTATTTTCTCCACGATAAAAAAGGAAATTTAACTTCACTAGATTTCTGGGATTTCTTCATTTTACTTGCCTTTTTGTTATTTTTTTCAGTGAAGAGTAGATATTTATTCGTTTAGGCAGGCACGAATGCGGATCATATAGAGCTTGTATGTTGTTTTAGGGTGGTGGAAGATAAGGATTTTGGGTGGATGAGATCTTCACCGGCTCGCTAAAAATTGGTTTTGATCATCTTGGTTTTGCTGCTTAGACTTTTCAGATTGATGGAAGTTCCATTTTGAGAGTGTTTCAATCAGCTAAACACTACAACCACAAGATTATATATTCAAGTGATGATCAAGCAGCTACTCAATAGGCTCCCTAAGAAGCCGTCCAAGTCAGCAGACAATCGTGATGGAGGAAGCTCTGCATCACCATCAAATGCTTCAACTAGTTCAAGAAGCAGTGATTTGTCTAGTTCGCGGTCAGGAAATTCGAGTGCCACTACTGTTTCAGGAGTCACTTCTTCTTCAACTCCAGGACTGAATCACGGAAACAGGCTACCACAGTCTGTAAATGCTAAGGTGAATGGAAATGCAGCGGTTTTTCCGTGTGAGACCTTGCCTAGTTTTAAAGATGTACCAAGTTCTGAGAAGCAAAACTTGTTCATCAAAAAGCTGAACTTATGCTGTGTATTACTTGACTTCACTGATCCAACAAAACACTTGAAAGAAAAAGACATCAAGCGACAGACACTAGTGGAGCTTGTTGATTATGTTAGTTCTGCGAATGGGAAATTCACAGAAACTGTCATTCAAGAAATAGTTAAAATGGTGTCTTCAAATCTGTTTAGGCCTTTTACTCCTCAGCCTCGTGAAAACAAAGTATTAGAAGCTTTTGACTTAGAAGAAGATGAACCCTTGATGGATCCCGCATGGCCGCATTTGCAAATTGTGTATGAGTTTTTCCTCAGATTTGTGGCATCACCAGAGACGGATGCGAAACTGGCTAAGAGATACGTTGATCACTCTTTTGTTTTGAAGTTATTAGATCTCTTTGATTCAGAAGATCCGAGAGAGAGGGAGTACTTGAAGACTGTTTTGCACCGTATATATGGAAAATTCATGGTGCACCGCCCTTTCATTAGGAAATCAATCAACAATATATTTTACCGGTTTATTTTTGAAACTGAGAAGCATAATGGAATAGCAGAACTTTTAGAAATTTTGGGCAGTATAATCAATGGATTTGCGCTTCCACTGAAGGAAGAGCACAAGTTGTTCCTAGTTCGAGCTCTGATTCCCCTTCATAAACCAAAGTGTGTACAAATGTATCATCAGCAGTTATCTTACTGCATAACACAATTTGTGGAAAAGGATTGCAAACTCGCTGATACTGTCATAAGAGGTTTGTTGAAATATTGGCCCATCACAAACAGTTCCAAGGAAGTAATGTTCTTAGGTGAGCTGGAGGAGGTTCTAGAAGCTACTCAGCCTCCAGAATTTCAGCGTTGTATGGTGCCTTTGTTTCGTCAAATCAGCCGTTGCTTGAGCAGCTCACACTTTCAGGTTAGTTGTGTTAGTTATTTTGTATTTTATTCCACAAAAACAAAAGGCAAGCCTTAACTTGTCAAATTTATTTCATCCCTTCAAATGTTCTTCCATTCCTCTCTCTTCCCAAAGTATCAGCATAAGGGCCAAAGGAGCTGCATCCCAAGCTCAGCATCTTCCTCTCCTTCTTGTTGTGCACCACATCATTAACTGTAGATGGCAATGCATTAATGAGTGATTCACATCCTCGCTGTACCGTTTGCACATGAAACACTGGTTAGCATAAGTTAACTCCCTTTTGGTTAGATTTTTCAGCCATTAGATTGCCACCCTTACTTCCAATTTAGGAGAACAAACATATCTTTCTTGGAGCTCTGAGAATCAAAACTATTAGGTTTAGAAACCCTGCATCCTCTCTTTTGAAGTAACCTGTGCTAGTACGACTTCATCAAGAACAACCCGTTTCCGTTTATGCTCCATTTTCAAGTGTACTGTTCCTACTGTGATGCTTTGTTTGTAAATTATGCATCAGGTTTTGGAATTATCTATATCCAACTCTTGTATAGTTATCCTGAACCTCAAATGCCAATAAGTTTTGCCTCGGGGAGGCAAACTCTCACAGTCATGGCAAACGACTTGTGCTTCTATAAACTAATCCTATTCCATTCCTAAACCTAAAAGTGATGTTGTCATTGAACTCTTCTTCATGTCCCATGCCCATAGGGTAATGAGATGTTTGTGGTCCTCTATCCACATTTATGTGTGCCGTACTTGTATGTGATCATTGTCCTCCACAAAGCCTATACCTCATGTCGAACCTCCAAGGCCACCTTATTAGACATGTGACCACCTCCCACTTTATCCCATCATTTGTATCCCCGCAAAAAGTTTCTTTGAAGCCTCTTCAACTTTTGGGTGACACTAGCGGGCGCATGCCTGAGAGACATGTAATATGTATGGATGCTTGGCAAAGTGCTCATAATCAATACCTCCTTGTATCAAAAGTACTGTATTGATTGAGTACTAGGATAGTCGACTCTGCAGGTGAATTTTATTAGCCAACAAACAGCAGTAATGTTGTTTATCAAAGGAACTCGCTAGGCCTTCAGAACAAAGGTTCTGTTCTTTATACAGCTATCTAATTTTCTTCTATTATATATTAAGGCGTAAGGGCGAAGGCCTATTTAGCGCCTTGGAAAAGGTAACCGGTTAGGTTGACTTTGGAAAGGCAGCTAAGGACCGGGTGAAGAATGAAAAACGTCCGCTAAAGCCCATGAGACAAAGTTTGCAGATGCGATCATGAATTGAACCAGATCGAAACATTCAGCTGTCGAATTTCCATCTTACCTTGACATCGTTGCTGTTGTCTTCCTTTCCATTTTGGGGTCAAAGCATCAAAATCACTATTACCTCTTTCAATTTGGGCACTCCTACCGTTAGCTGTACCTGACATCAGTTAGATACACAGATATGTAATTTCAGTGGACAGATTTGTCATTAGATTTATTGAGTAGCTCTAGTTGATTTACTCCATTCGTTGGTATAGATCAAATTTGTGATCAAATGTGTGTATTTTTCTAGTTGTGTTGAGAGTAGATCAGATGCCATAAGATCAATGAGAAACATCTTGGCAGTACCCTCTTGCTTCTGACTTTTTGAATATTATTCGTTATATTTTTATCAGAAAAAGATCAATAAGAAATATCAGGTTCGAGATGAATGATTAGCATTTCATTAGATCTACTGCATTTATTTTGCATCGAGTTTGTACTTTGAATGAAGCTCGTTTAGGTTTGTTCGCTGCTTTACATAACTCTCTTTAACTTTGCATCTACAGGTGGCTGAAAGGGCTTTGTTCCTATGGAACAATGATCATGTTGAGAGCCTAATCAAACAGAATCGTAAAGTTATACTGCCGATAATTTTCCCTTCCTTGGAGAAGAATGCAAGAGGCCACTGGAATCAGGCAGTGCAAAGCTTGACATTAAATGTCCGCAAGATCTTCTGTGATGTTGATCCTGAACTTTTTGAAGAGTGTTTGCACAAGTTTGAAGAGGATCAGGCCAACGAAGAGGAGGTGAAGAGGAAACGTGAAACGACTTGGAGACGGTTAGAGGAGCTTGCTGGAATGAAAGCTGCTAGCAATGAGCCAGTGCTAGTTTCTCCTAGGACAACGCCTCATTCGTCGTCTGGCTAGAGACTGGATATCTTTGTTACTGTTGCTTTTCCCTTGATGAGCTGACCAATATGCTAACTGAGGATGGAAATTGCGAAAATGAGGTGGATCCAATGAAACACGTTAACAGGTTTCTGATACAACCTGAAAATTTTGCTTTCCCAGGTCTCACAGTGTGATACCAACTCTGTGCTCATTTAGAGGCAAGGACTGTACATATGGAATCGCGTGACTGGAGAACCTCAAGATTTTATAGTGTGCACTCCACATGTTGCTGGAATTAATCTGGTTAAGTTCATTTGATCTTTGCTTTGTTGAAATTTGTATGATGAGACTGGAAAAGCATCATTCTTCAGGTATATTAATGATTTTTTTTGCATCTAAGTTCCTTTTAGGCTGCACTTGACATTGCTGCTTAGCATGAAATGTTCCTGTAGATAATCTTGAGAATATCCAAATTAAGACATAGTTGCAATATTTAAGAACCAATTTTTTTGAATTCAGACTGCTTGAAATTAGTTTCTTAGAATTTATTTTTTCTTTTGTTTTGGGGGCGGCTGGAAACAGCCTCTCTACTCTCAAGGATACACTACCCTCCCCAGATCCCACTTGTGAGATTATACTGGGTTTGTTGTTGTTGTTGGTAGCGGAAAAAAAGAGAGAATAACTTGATCTTAGTGAAGTTGCTATTTTTGTAGCACCAAAACTTATTCTGTTTATTCTGCTTGGAGACAGTAGTTCAACTAATGGACAGATCAAGTAACTGAAACGAGAAGGAGAAAACAAGCATAGTAAAATTTTGCTCCCAAATATTTGGTTCAATGATAACCTCGACGTGTGATATGTGAGTTATGCAAACATCACGAGTTTGAACCTTATCGCGGACTAAAGTATAGTATTTAAGTGGAGATGAATAGAATACTTTTAGTTTCCATCGAGTTTCAAATCATGTGCTACTTGAACCTCAAGATTTCTCGGTCATTAAAATACTCCGTGAAACTGACCAATCTTTTCTCTAAATTTTTGGGGTAGCCAATTTAATACACACGCAACATAATGAACAAATTGTGCATGCTTCTAAGATTTAATCTAGAAAAACTAGTTGGGTCGGGTAATATTTTATGTATATAACATCAAATTAATTATTAATTGTTCTTTAGGTTTAAGAATGTTACGGTTGTTCGATAAAAGCTGTGTATCTGTCCACTAGTTGGGGTTGCCCGTGCTAAGCCCGGGCCCGGGCCTATTAAGTTAAAAATATATATTACTTCCTCCGTTTCAAATTAGATGAGGTATTTTCCTTTTTATTCTGTTCCAAAATAAATAACACACTTCTAAATTTGGAAAAAATTCAACTTTAAACTCTTCATTTTACCATTAATGAGAAGCTTTTATAATCACACAAATGTCATGGCCCCACAAAGCTTTTACACCTTAAGCTTTTAAGACCACAAGTTACAAAAATCTTCTTTTTTTTTGTTAAATTCCGTGCTGAGTCAAACTACATCATCTAAATTGAAATAGAGGGCGTATAATATAAAAGGAGTAAAGAACTTTTCATAGAGTAACCTATACTATGATTAACTGGTGGAGTTGTGACATATCACATTCGAGTACTCAACCTGATGATTTGTTATTTGAAATATATCTGTTTAAGTCCACAATTATTAGCTTATTGAAGAGATCCTGTGAAAGGTTTAAAATTTTGATTTTTTCCACCTGAAGTATGTTCTCTCATGTACAATAAGTGTATATTCAAAGTATTGACCAATAAGAAATAGAGTAATATATATGTTTTTGGATCTAAAATAAAGACGAACGTCTTTTTTGTTTTATGCACTTCTACTTGTGTCCTCTGCTGCTTTTTTGGCAACAAAATTATGCCTAAGACAGTAGTAATATCGCATTTTTTTCCAGTTATAGTGGAACTTCTCAGATGAATGGCAGAGTTATATTAAATTTGATGTTGTAAGGAAGAAAAGTAAACGGAGAATGGCGAGGCTATACTAAACTCATTGCATTTTGCAAGTTCCTCGTTTCTGATAACATTTTAACTAATCGTTAGGATCTCATGTTTTTTTAGCCGAAACAAACTTTAGAGATCAACTATTGGAGCATTTGTTTTGCTGCTCTCACCATATGTACCTTATATCACATATGGTAGAGAAGCTTCGATCTCGTCTGGGACACTCAAATTGATTGGCATATGAGCCCTTCCCCGAGGTCAGCTTTCTGTTGATCCTATACTTGCACTTTCTTTATTCCGCTCCTACATCGTGCTCTTCAAATAAACTATTGACAAATCTTGGTGTTATCTATTCTCTCTGTTTAAAAAAAGGGAGCAAGGAATTAAACAGTAGGTCTGTTTCTATTTGGTCTGGTTAGTCAGATGCATAGAAAGTTGGACAGGTCGAAGAAGGAAGAAAAATTATTCAAGCCAAAAAGCGGATAAGATTTATTGTTGAATATTTCAGCAGCAACTATTTACATTAGTTACAATACCAATATGCTTTACTGCGTAGGAAAATACAAATGTACAAGCCAGATAATTACATGAAGTAACAATCATCAAAAGCACTTTATCAATGTATACTTCCTTTCCATCAAAGAAATCCATCTTTACGACTTGAACCTTACATGACAATAGACCCAAAGGTTCCATTTGATTTCCTTGTCCTTCATGTTGTATACATATGTTACGCAGGCCTTTTTTTTTTTTTCTTTTCCTACTCTAATCAGCATTTCTGCTCCACTGCTGCTCTTGGGTTCCTGCAAACAAATAAATACATGGTTGATGGACAAGATTATTAAAAGCCCCCTTATATCTAACGTTATACATACTATATATTCTAAGAACCTTAATAGAATAGTAGAAGGTAATCTATAGCAGTCTATGAATACTTTATATACACAGGATAGTTCGTCTTTGCATCCAGAAATGAAATTAATCTTCATCCTTGAGGCATGTAGCAAAGGGTAAAGAACCAGGCACACACATGTAAGAGTTGCCAACAAGTGATATATTGTACATCTTTCCCAAGAAAATCAGGTCTAACAATACAACTAATTCCTACAGAATAGAGCCACGGAAGATCTATTAAACTTTGCAACTCAAACAAACTACACTCTAACTTTTAACAAGAGATGCACCTTCATAGAGTGAATATTGATACTTTTTAAATTAAAAACAGACCTCAGGAAACAAGATGGAGAATGCAATTTATCTGAGCAGGGCATGGGGGAGTTAAATAATACTTTTGACCGGGATATTACGGATTATATTGTAATTCTTCTACTAAATATCCTTCAGCGAGGTATGCTTTCTTCCTACCCCTTTTATATCGATGCAAAAAATCACTCACAAAACACAATTTGTTCAACCTAATTAAACTAATTGAACTCTATTTTATTTTAGACGTAATCACCTATTAGGTCCTAAATGCCAAAATATTAAACGTCTATTACTGAATTCAACTTACTACAGCAACAATTCATAAGTTTTAACATGTTTGATATCGTTTAGCATCAAACCGGGAAAAGCTTCCAGGTTTTTTCGTTGATGAAATAAAGAAGAAGACATATGCCTAACAACTAAGATTGACAATGAAATTTATTCAAGATTGAAATGTTAATATTGGTGAAAATTAAATATGGATTAAAAAGAATTTAGGAATCCCGTTGGAGTTAGATATTTCAATAATGTTTCTAAACATAGTCCTTGTTGTGACTATGTTTTTATTGAGCTGAGGGTCTATTGGAAACAATTTCTCTATTTTTACAAGGTAAGGACAAGATCTGGTAATAACTTATTATACTCTTTGTCAACCAATATTATCTTGTCTTTTAACCTTTGTATATGCGCTGCGCTTTAAAGAAACATGTTTAGTTGTTTAATATCTCAGGAAGAATGAAAATAAAGAGTATAGAATCAATGTAGGGAGAATGGATAGTGGTTGTGAAGCCCGTGATGAGTCCGGGCCGAGCTCATTTTTGCGACATCTCTAGAATAAAAAGATCTTACAGAACACACGGAGAAACATTTTAAAAATACATTCACGGGCATTTCGACTTTATTTGATGAAACTGATGCTACCATATTAAGAACAAATTCCACACCCAGTTGAAGAAGCTAAAGACATGTCCCGCATTTCGCTTAGCTTTATATGGGTCTGTGCTTCCTATTCTCGCCCCTTTATTTGGGAAACAACATAATCCTGGATTTTAATTTTTTGACACCTAAACTCTGGCTCAACGGAAAAAGAGAATAAAAAATCAAGCTATATCGATTAAATACTCGTGTATTGAAGTATAAATGACAAGAAAAAAGGCACTTTAAAGTACAAAGAGAAACCAAATGTTTCAAGCTCCACTACATAATGCCTGATCGTTACGATGATGGAGAGAAAATAAAAAGAGAAGCACAATTTTTAAACAATCCACAGGAATGCAGCTACATCAGTACAAATTCAAGTGGAATTTGGGAGAGACATACTGCATTCTTATGTTGGAATATAAGTTAAATATCATGCAGCAGTATAAGTAGTCTATTACTCTATTAGCAAATCTTAGATTTCCTCGGCGGGCATAAATTGCACAAAATATAAAAGTACCACAACAAGTAAGCATAAAATACCAATAGCTGTAGAAAAAAATACATTTAACATCTGTCTAAACTAAAAAGAAAGAACTTACTGCACGTTTTTGCACTTGCAGCGGGCAAGAACAGGATGAATTCTGACATCTAGATACAATAAGAAAATAAAGTCAGCATCATTCACTGTGATTATTAGCCTAAAACATGACAGAGAAAATTGTAGAGATTGTACACCTATTAGCACTTTCAAAGCCCCGGTTATAGCACACTTGGACATAGCTGATTTTTCCTGTTTATGTTAAAACTTTTCAGTCCCTGAGATAGAAAAAGAAATTACCAAAGGCTAATCTTGTTGCTAGATACTTTTCTTAGAACATTATCTGACTTCAATGCAATCTAAACTTCGAGCTAACATGCTTTAATGTGGAACATATACAGACTATTCAATATTGACATATAAACAGAAGAAATAAAATATGGGTGTCCTATATTGCAACTCTCTTGAGAACAAAATAGGCCTCTTAAGGTAATTATGGTATACCATTTCATTTCTTCACCACAATTTCTTCCATTCTTTCATCATATCATAAAAGTTTACATTCACAGAAGAAATCACAATATGGGACAGCAAAACAAAGGCAACTTAATGTTCAGACAAATGGATTAGGATGTCGTAATTACGGACAAACCAGAATTTCCATTCCTAAGGAGAAGGTTTTAAGTTGTTATGACCTAGCGTGTCTGTCATTCACAAGATATAAAGCACGAGAATTTTTTCCATTAACCACCACAAATTTCAATGTACTCACATTCGTGGGTAATAAGTATTGGAAAGTTAACCTTGAGATATGCCTTCGGAGACATTGTACATGACTGCAGGTTAACCTACTAAAACTGGATATTCTACTG